TGCAGTAACATGGACCCTGTTTGCAGCAGCAGCAAGAAGAAAGATTCCAGTGCTTCATTTTGGAAAGATCCACTGAACCAGCAGCCAGCTCAATGAATCGAACGCCGTGCAAACAAGAAACCTGTGAGCACACAAGAGCAGGACCAGCAAAGTTACTGTGCCATCAGCACTGCTGAACACGCTTCTCTCAAGACCACCACCACCAGGGCTGTTCAGATATACAGCAGGATACAAAGAAAAAAGGCATTGTAAGGGTATATATTACATATTATAAGGTTATATATACAACATAAGGTTCTGCTTTCTCTTCTTTTTTACCCCCACTATTAAAATGCAAGGAGCAGAGCTGTTGACACCAGCCTGCTCTGCCACGGTGTCTGCTAAACGACACCTTAAATTCTGCTCCCACAGTGAATTTGCTGGCCTAGGGAACCCTCCTTGCAAAAAGAAGCCAGGGAAAAAGCGAAACAATTGCTGCCTAGTATTGTGGTTTGGGCTTATTTCTTGCTGCTGAGGGTGACCCAGGTCCAGAGAAAGCAAATGATGGAGGCAATTAGAGGAAGTCTTCGAAACAACTGGTTTTTATAGCCTGCAGATGTCTTTAAGTAGTTCTGGTCTTGGGGATGAGAAACCAAAACACTTGTTACCAGCAAGCCCAGGGAAAGGAGTGGGAGCTCCTGTGATATGCTCCTCTACAAGATCAAAAGCACATTTGGCATGCAGGTAGGCAAAGATGAACAGATGTCCGAGCAGAAAAACCACTGTTGCTGCAGGCATGTGAACACAGAATACAAGAAAAAAAAGAAAATAGAGCCTTTTATCAGTGTCCAATTCCTTCCGGATTTAACTCACGCATTTGCAGGTGTAGTGAAAGGAAACAGAAAGCCGACCTGGGCAAGAGGGAAACTTGCAGCACTTGTTGGAGTGTTCTCTTGGTTGCTGTGCTCGCTGGGGTGGTATTGAGCATGACTTGGAAGCTCTGCTGGGATGGAGCAAAGGAGCACTGATGGAGCGAGGGGAGCTGTGCAACCAACCTAGAACTGTCAGGAGGGCTGCCCTGATATTTTCTTATCAGTGCTCCAACATGGGTTTCACTTTCCAGCCTGAAAAAGCATGGAGCTTTTGTGAGAGTTCTGTCCTACCCAATGGACACAAAGGCCTCTCTGCTGACTCCTGCAGAGGCAATGCTCCTTTGGGCCCACTCAGATCATTGGTAGCTCAAATGTGTAAGCGTGCAAAAACCCAGAATAGGCAGAATAGGGTGCTTTTTTCACCAAAACTTTCTAGTGTAGAGCAAGTCTCAGAGTGATGGTTGGACCAGGTGATCTTAGTGCTCTTTTCCAACCTTAGTGATCTGTGACTTGTTACCAGGTGCAGTAAATCACAGCCTGAAGGACTTAAGCAGGACGGTTCCACTGCCAAAAGCGTTGTATGACTGCTGCATGCTACAGACACGTGGAGCAAATGCAGCACAGAGGGAGCAAAACCTCCGGAACAGGCGGGCGTCGGGACAGAGCACACGATGAAAAAGCGGCCCCCTGGGGACATGCTTTGGGGCAGGGCAGCAATATGCGATTCTCCGGCTCCTCGCTTCAAAGCGCTGACAGAATTCCTTCTGTAATCAGGACGGGAAGGCACGCGGTTTGGGCAGGTAAAGAAAAGGTTGGCTCGTTAAGTCCAACCCATTACCCAAGTGTCAAGTGCTCCCTAAGATGGCTCACCGCTAATTTGAGAAGTCACCTGGTGGCAGCGGGTCACCAGCTCCCTCTACAGACAATCAGGCCACAGCCGGACCCCCGCAGGACCGCGACGGCACACGCATAACAAAGAGTGCCTTTAAACTGCCATTGAGGAGCAGAATTTCGCGATAATTATCCCCATGGATGCCGAGCCCTTTGTCTCCGTCTGGCCCTCTCCTCCATCCCGGCTGCTTGGAGAACCGGCAGCGATCGCTTCGCGTTACCCAAAGCGTCTCTTTTGTTTCCTTCGGGAGAAACAAAGAGGCAGAAAAGCGCTAGAAAACCCATCAGCGGGCTGTAGGGAAAGTTCAGCAGCCGAACCGGGCGGCTTCTGGGGACCGAAGCTCCAACGACGCCGGCAACGTCTCGGCTTCACCGCATCCCTGCCAGCATCCCCCGCGAGTTGGGACGTGAGTGTGCGGATGGGACACGCAGGACTGGAGGGCAGCACGTCCCCGGCACCGCCACGCTGCTGAGTGGCCATCCTTGCCCTCACCTCGATGTTTCAGCGTCTCCGCCTGCAGGAAGGGCCGTGCGTAGCTGGAGGAGCAAAGCGGACTCTAACCACGTTCCTCAAACAGCTCTGCCAGGCAGAGCTTCGACTCCGAGCCCCCTTCACCTGCAATGCTGGGAACTTGTCTGGGCAAACAGCACGAGATATATATATATATTTGGTCCTTTTGCCAGTTAATATTACACTCTTACTTTGAACCTAATGAACACTTTGTTCTTTCTTTCTGAGATTTCTCAGTATTCGTAGGTGAGAGAAATACATTCCCCCTTCTCCTACCCGTATAAGGCATATCCTTCCAAAAACAATCCAACTCGCAGGCAGGGGGCAGGGCACGTGTAAAAGTGGGCAAGCTGTTCACTCCGCACAATAATTAGAGAGTGCTTCGATGCCAAGGAAAAGGAAAAAAAGAGTTGCACCTGCCTGCAGCCCCCAGCCCTGAGTGCCAGGGCCAGCTGCCTGCAATGGGGAATGCAGAGCAAGACAATGAACCATCACCCAAATAATCTCCATCTGGGGAAGGGCTGAGCAGAAAGCCGTTGGTAGTTTCCAAACATCTTTTGCACACTGAGAGCTCCTACAAAACTTTGAGGCTTCTCTGTGCCGTCATGCACGTTTTGTCACATGCACTTGTTGTCACACAGTTCCCTTTGCCTACAACTCCTGCTTGCAAGCAGTTCTGCTATCGTGCAAGCCCAGAAGCGGGCTTTCCTACATCCACAATCACAGCATCATTGAAAAAGACCTTTAAGATCACCCAGACCAATCACCAGCCCATCCCCACCATGCCCACTGACACGTCCCTCAGTGCCACATCTCCACGGTTCTTCAGCATCTCCACAGACTGCAGACTCCACCAAGCTCCCTGCCCAACCTGTTCCAAAAAACCACTGTTGAAGCCCAGGAATGAACCACAGACCTTTAGATCTTCCCAGCATCATGCTGACCATCCCTGCATAGGGATGAGCTGCATTTTGCACCAGGCTCCCCTGCTTAGAGCTTTGAGGTGTGCAATGATCAGTGAGCAGCCCCTTGTGTGAATGAAGGAGCTCAGACATGGAGCACATCTGGGATTTCTGATGTACAGTGGGGATAAAGAAATGCGTGAGAAAAGAGAAGTAAGGAGAAAATGTCATTTTGTCTTGCTTTATGATTATTTCTTATTACAGCCAGGTCTTACCTTTGCTCTGTGTCCCAGCCCACACTGTAGCTTGTCTACAAAAATCAGCATGGGACTGATGCCCGCTTATCAGAGGGCAGCAGATGTGGGGCAGCGCAGGGCTGTGCACAGGGCTGTGCACGTTGCCTCCTGCACTGGCAGAAGCGTGGTACTGAACGGGCTGCTCGTTATTCCTCTGCAACTCCTCTGACCCTGTTGCTGTCGCTGCCGCTGAACAGTTTGGCAGCACTTCCTCGGAGAAGTACAGCAACAAACTCAGATGCCAGGGCTGGGAGATAAGCAGCCAGCAAACATCCAATTTCCATACAATGTACAGAAAAGAGAGGAGGAAAAAAAAAAATAAAATAAAGAAAGCCACTCACTGGGAATCCCTAATGAACCAGGGGGAAAAGCAGGACGAGCAACTAACAAAACAGAATGGATTTTCAATAAGGGCACAGCAAGTTCTAGTGGACAGATCTAGCAGATAGGAGAGGAGAGAGAAGAAAGAGCCGAAGCAGGGAAAGGTGAGGGGAGGAAAGCAACGGGATCAGAGCAGCCTGTCCGATGGGGAGGATGCTTCCTAAGCATTTCATTTCCTTTATTATTATATAGATGGTGCCAGCTGATTGCAGAGCAATAATCCATCCCGCCTGGTAACCTACAGGCTGGATGCTTCTGGGCACTTCTTGCCTGTGGCACTCAGCACAACACAACAATGAAACAATGACAAACATCCCTGCCTTCCCTTTCTCTTTTCAGCCAAGTGCCAGGTATTTGTTTTGATACCGAACGGTGGAAATGCCACCCGCTCCTATGCAGAAAGAAGGACCCTGTGCCATTACAAGTGCCCCCCATGTTGTCGTGATTATTTGACTTGTTTTCTCACATTGCTGCAATGAGTTCCTCAGGTTAATGCAAATCCTCCTCTCCGTTCCTGTTCCTGTCACTCCCTAATTTCCTAACCAGCCTTCAGAGGTGGTACAGGGTGGGCAGGGCACTGCTCCTCTCCCTAGATTTTGGGGTTCCTTTAGTCTCTGCCGTACAGAGGCACCGGGAAGGGCAATCACCCCCATCCCACGTCGCACCTCCTCGTTCGCCGGGCGGGTCCCTTCACCCATCGCCCGGTGCTCCACCACGCCCATCCGCCCGCTCCCCAGGGCTGCCACTCGCCCCTCCATCAGCCCGTCCACACCTGAGCGCTGCCCGCACCCAAAGCCCTCTCTCCGAGCCGCTATCCGCTCCAATACCTCCGAGCAGCCTGCTACCTGCCCGGCATCCCTACCCGGACCTGCGAAGGATCGAGCAGCCCTACCCGGACCGCTATTCAACGCCCCTAAGAGAAGCGGTGCGGCTCCAGTCGGGCTGACATCCCATTGTCCCTAACGGGACCGCCGGGTCCCGCTTCCCACCAGGACCGCGCTGCCCCACGCCGCCCGAACCAACCCCGCTCCCCGCCCGCTATTTCCGCGCTCCTTCCCACTTCTACGAGCGAGAAACCGGGAGAGCCGGAGACAAAGAAACTGTCCGGGCGCACCCCCCTCCCTCACCGCTCCTCCTCCTCCGGCACCCCTTCCCTCCGTCAATTTACCCGTTCTCCTCCTCGATCTCTGAGATGTCGGCGAAGATGAGGAAGCCGACGAGAAGCGTGAGCAAAGCCAGCGTCCAGCCCCGGCACGGCAGCGGCATGGCTCCCGGGCTGGGCCGCTCCGCGGGGTGCGGAGCTCGGCTCCGCGTCCCGGTTCGGCCCCACAGCCGCCGCCGCCGCCGCCCGGCGGGGCCGCTCCGCCCCTCGGCGCCCGCCGAGCTCCCGTCCCGCCCCGCCCGGCGTGGGGAGGGGAGAGGAGGGCACGGGGTTGAGCCGCTTCCCCCCAGCGGACAAAGTTTGCTGCCGCCCCGCACCGGGGGGAGCCCTCCGAAGGGCCGCCCCCAGCCCCGCGGTGGGGTTTCGCCGCCCCTCCTCTGCGGGGTCGGAGGGGAACAATGCGAGGTGGGCGCCTTTGCGTTTTTCTGCCGATAACGAGCGGCTTGTGGGATGAGAACAGCGTTGTAAATAAAGGTGGTTGAGAACTAATCACACCTGTCTATGTTGCTATTGATTCACGTTTTGGTAACAACAGTTGTTGGCGCTCCATCAGTATTTAGCGCGCCGGGCTTGCCTTTACTCTGGAAATCTCAAGAGACTTCGGGCAGGCAGAAATCACCGAGCAGAAACGGCTTCACAGCATCAGGGTGCGTCCCTGGCAGCCCCAGCGAGCATCCTAACACTGGGCTTGGCACTGAGAGAAAGGGCTGTGGTGCCTCTCGCCTTCTGCACACAACACGTATGGAAATGGCCATTGGGAGGAAGGAGAACAGGTTTGGGCCAAAGAACGGCCAAAAGTGCACCGAAGGGTCTTTGCCCTGCAGGCCTGATGTCTGTTAGTGCTGCACCATCCACAAGGAGCAGAGGGTCAGGTAAGGGCAGCCTGGCACAGCATCCCCAGAGCCCGGCGCGATGCTTTGGACCAGAAAGTTGCTGAGGACCAGGAAGGAGTTGTTGAGGTCCACGCACCGGTGAGCTGGAGAGGGGCGCGGCGATTTTGTAATGCAGCAGATAGGAGAAGCACAGATGTGGTGTGAGAGAGAGAGAGAGAGAGATAGAGAGAGATACTAATTGCTTACATATTTAAAACAGCATCTTTCGCCTGAATGGGAGGCTCCATTAAGCAAAGCAGAGCTATTAACTGGGGCCACTTGGAAAGCTGCCATCCTCTGTGTTGTGCACGGCTTTTTGCATCGACACAAAAGTACACTGCTGAGGGCAGGAGGGGCTGCTGGCTGCATCCTGGGGTTCCTAGCAGGGATGCTGAGGTGCTCTGCGTGTCACAGCGATGTCTGATGGGGGTCTGTGCACGCACTCCATGGAGCACTTCTCCCTGTGTGGGGATTAAATGGTGGATGGAGCTCATCAGAGCCAATGTCCTGTCCTAGGGATTTCTGCAACTCCTGTTGTAGGAAGAGGAGATGACCAAATCAGCCTTACGGTTATAGGTTAAAAAATACAACACAGGTGAGTGTGGTACAATTACACTGTATTGTATGGAAAATTTACAGTCTAGTATACAGCTTTTGTAATAGAACATATTCAGACCCCTGGAGAGAAAGTGATTTTAGACAATTTAAGTAGCCCCATAATTTACCTTCTGCATACATCTGAGGAAACGCTCATTTTTCTTCTGCTTTATTCTTTCCGGGCTCCTTTTGCTCACCATATTTGGAGCCCCACAGCATGTTGAGCAGGGGTGACCTTGCAGGTGCCACTGGGGCCTCCTGAGATGTAGGATCCCTGCATCTCAGGGAGCACTGCAGCTGGTTCCCGCTGCTCACAAATCCTCGAGAATGCAGATGGAGATATCTGCTCCTGCATCTCTTTCAGCTTCGTCCCAGGTGGTGGCTCAGCTTCTTTTGTCTGATCTTTCTGTTTCGGTGGTGACGTGCAAGAACGGAAAGCTCAAAGGATGCTGAGCAAAAAGTGGGGATTGTTCATGGTGTGATGGGATGGAAGCTCTTTTAGGGGCAAGGATGCCTGGTTTGCTGAGATGCTGAGGAGTAAGTGGTGTTAAAAGACATGCTGGGATTTGACTCTGCTCCTGCATAAGGCAATGGCAACACTGCTATTAGCTATCTCCCTCACAGGGAGGGCTATGAGCTAAGCTCAGTGCCTTTCACTGGGGAGCTCCATTGCTAGGGGTTTTGCATAAAGAGCTGTGAGGTACTGCTTGGAGTCATCTGTTGCTTTATTCCTATGAAAGATGTAGGTCAGGGAGAAAGGTCATCTTTCAGCTGGTTGGGCTTTAAAGGCAAGGACCGGACCCTGGGCACACAGCTGGGCTTTGAGCAAGAAGGCTGCCAGCTCTGTAGGCAATGCAGGAACAGTGCAGCGTGCCGAACTGTTTTGTAATCAATTAATGAGGCTTTGTTAACATCCCCAAGTGCAGCTCTGTAGTGAAAACCTGGGGATTCTGTTGCATTGCTGAGGGCTAAATAGTGTACGATCAGGACTTGTACAATAGCAGTAGCAAGGAGTGAGCATAAAGGTACTGACCACAGGAGCACATTTTACTCTCCGTTTGCTCCAAGTCCATCCTTTACAGCATTCTGTCTAGAACTGTCTGATGAGCAGGCAGCGCATCCCAGTTTAATGCATTGCTCTTTAAGAACTGCAAACTGCTTTGGAGTAATTGCCATAGTTCAAGTATTCACCATTCCACACATTCAATCCACTATGAAAACCTCACATGATTCAACTTAAACAGGTGCGTAAATGCTGCAGGGTTGGGTCCATAAGCATCCAGAGCCACAATTTTACATCTCATTTGTAAGATGGGTTGCAGGAAGATGAGAGCAAAGTGTAGAAAATAGACTGTTGTGATAGAGAGGTATGTTCTGAAACAGAGTAAAAGGCTATTACAGCTTCTCGTTTCTAATAATTTGAGGAAATAATTTTGCATCCTGAACACTTGCAGTAAATACAATATAAGGTGTACTGAAAAAGAGTCTTTGCATAAGAGCAAAGGGAACTGCACAAGCACAGCATTGCATTTTGCGGCTTTGAAGGGAGAAAAGAAAAGAAATGGCACTTTTACATTTTCTTTTGACCTTTCAGAAATAGCAGGAATATGTAACAACCATATTCGCCAACAATAGCTGGGAGGATTGAGGGAATAAGAGTTAAACACCTGGGGACATTTACAAACAACTGACAGAGAGGGGATGAATTTAAGATGTGGATATGAAAGGCGCAGATATGCAGAGAGCGCAAAAATGATACATATTTAAAATGTTTTTAATCCATGCGAGAAGCATCATCGAGAAAGGCAGGTCGAGTGAGCAGAGGAGGGCCATGAAGGTGATCCATTGGGCCAGGCCTATGCTGTGATGAACGGTGGGACCTGGAGCGGGAAGAGGTGTCTCAAGGGACCTTTCTCCTTCCAATCCGTAAGGCTGTAAAACACACGCAAACTTCATCATAGCTGTCAGACAAAGTGAACAAAGTTTACAGCCCATTTTATGCAGCTAAACAGCACTTGGGTGTGATAAACAGTCATGATGGATGGGAGCCGGTAGAAAGCAGGGTCGCAACATTTCATTGCCTCATTATAGGCAACAAGCTGGCCTCTGGGTGTGCTCCCCAATGAAACCTCCATACCTGAAGGCAGGCAACTGCCATGAAGCATGGTGTGTCGTCTCTTCCCCAGTAGGGCCTTTAGCAGGAAGGGAGGAGCTGATGCTGTAGGCTCAACATCCTCCATCTTCCCCTTCCAGTAGAGCACCCTGGTGAAGTATTGGGCATTATCATTCTATCATAAAGAGCACACAGTCTCTTTTCATTGTCATGGAAAAACTCCAGGCTCTGTTTACCCTTGGATACATCTTTTCCAGCCAGATCCTGAGGCAGCTAGCTCCAACAATAAGCTCATTCACCTCCCTCCTGGAAGAAAAAGCAATCTTCTGAAAGGGCTCCCAAATGCCGGACACATTCATAAGTCTTAAGCATGAATATAGTTCATTATTAATGCACAGCACTGAGACACAGCCCTAGCTGAGAGGTGGCCTGATGGTGGTGGTCAGAAAGATCCAGGACTTATCACAGAATCATAGCATCCTTTGAGTTGGAAGGGAGCCTTCAAGACCATTTGGTCCAACTCCCCCGCACCGAACAGGGACATCTACAGCTGATCAGGTGCTCGGAGCCCCATCCAGCCTGACCTGGAGTGTCTGCAGGGATGGGGCATCCAACACCTCTCTGGGCAACCTATTGAAGACTTGTGTTGTCACTCCCTGCTGAACTGTTTCAACAAGCAGCCCAACTTCTCATCCTGTACGATGGAAGCTGGAGCCCTGACAGTCCTTGGGTGGACACCCAAAACCCTCAGTGATTTTCTCTTCCCAGGGATTTTTGCCATTGGAAGAAGTAATCCAAGCCTATCGTGGTCTTTATGACCAAAGTGGTGCAGCAGCAACAAAAAAAGCTTTGGTGGTTTGTAAGAAAGTGTGAGGAAAATTAAACTGTATTAATTTCAAGCTCTATTAGGATTTTAAGAAAGTAAAATCAATAGAAAAGGATGGACTCAATAGGGAACATGACCTTATTTTCCCACTGTCTGAAGGAGAAGTGCACACAATAGAGAGACAAAAATACGCATATCTATAAAATCAGATCGGTTTCTTCAGAGTAAAAGGAGAGAAGTTAAAATGCTTTTGTAAGCCGTCATTTTTGACTGACACTTAGGAGACATGTCCACAAGGAAAAAGAAAGGTAAATGCAAAAGCAAAAAAAAAAAACCCAGCAAAAAACCCCCCTCAAACTGAACACCATCAACAAAGAAACCCAACCCCATCCATTAGTCTGTTCCCTTTCTTTCTCTCCTGCAGTAAATGGTAAAATGGTGTGATCCGTGCAATATTTCATCAAATATGACTTACCATTGTCAGAGCAAAATGTTTGATATAAAACAAGAACGATCTTTCTTTCTTTTTGGTCAGATAAGCTGGTTTGGATTCATAAAAATGCCACCTCACAATGATATTGATAATTTGCATGTGAAAAGCCTTCTACCTGGTAATGAAAACAATTTTTCAGTTTTACCACCACTAGTCGCAGCAGATAAGGTCTGCCGTCCTCCCCCTCACAATTAACCACACTCACACACAAAAAAATGGGAAAGGTAGAAAATGTGTGACAACTGCAAACTGCCCGTTATCTGAACCCGATGCTAAGGCAGTGAGATCTGCAAATGGATGGAGCTGGCACGCTTCTCCTCTCTTGAAACCTGCGTGCCCACTCTTCACCCATGCTCTTCCCACCCCACAGAGGAAAAATGCTCTCTGCAAGGCCGTATTTTCAGTGACTCAGGATGTGTGACGTGTGCTCAGTTAAACATGAAGCATTCCCCTTTCTTGCATATAACTATCAATTATTTGAATTTAACTGCACACTCCTCTGAGATCATTCCAAATTGATAAGAATTTCTCACTTACAATGCTAGATGTAAAGCGTCTGATAAACAGATAGAAGTTTCAGATGCCAAATTCAGACCCCATCTGTTTTTTAGTTTTGTCTTTTATCTCAGTTCAAAGCTCCTAAAACGTGGCTTTTCTTTCTGCAGAACACCTTCATCAGCGCACTGCTCTCTGAATTCTCTGGCCCTTAAAGCACAGGTCAAATCTGAATCTCATTGTGGCCTGCTTCGAGTTGGCAGGTTTGATTAATTTTGTCCTGTACTTGACAGAAGCCCAATTACTTTCCACAGCAGCGACACATAGGTAAATCTACCCGGTTTGGATAAACAATTCTGCATGGGAAATGAAATAAAATGCATATGGGCACAGAGCAGATTTCCAGGGAAGTCTTGTAGGATTAATTAGGGATAACAGGCTCTGTTCTCACCCGTGAGATGTCCAAGTGAAGTCCTGCCCAGAGAGGCTGTGGATGCCCCGTCCTTGGAGGTGTTCAAGGCCAGGTTGGATGGGGCCCTGGGCAGCCTGGTTTAGCATTAAACGTGGAGTTTGGTGGCCCTGCATGTGGCAGGGGGGTTGGAGATTCATGATCCTTGAGGTCCCTTCCAACCCTGGCCATTCTGTGAAGACAAAGGCTGGAGAAGGTGACTCAAAAATAGGTGAAGAAGGAAGCAGATACATTGACAAACTTCTTTTGGGGCCATCCAAATGAAGGCAGCACTACTGACCTCTCAGAAGTGCATCACAGCAGTGAAGAGCAACCTGGGAAGAACTGGTTTAGTAACTTAGTGGTAATAATGGTAACAGGAAGGCAGCTGGACTCAGTGATCTTGTTGGTCCTTTCCAAACTCGTGATTCTATGATTCTGTGACAACTGCACACAGCTTTCTTGCTCTCCCCTGATCTTCTTGCAGTCTTTGGGAAAATTCTGATCTCGAGTCATTGTTGAAACATAAAGGTTTCAACAGCAATTAAAACATGCAGAAAAAGAAAAAAAATAAATTCTGTGTGCACACATGGCCCTTTGCAAATGAGAACTTTTCTGCAAGGAACACATGAGATTCAGCAATATGTTCCACTTAGCAAAATGACAAAATCTTTAGGGGTATGTAAAGAGCGTAACCTTTTATTCTCTTCACTTCTCTTTACCAAGTAAAAATTGCTGTGCAAAAGGCCTTTAATGTGAAACCTCATTTCAGCTCCAGAAAGGCACTTGATTTCTGTCTATAGAGATTGTCATTTTGCTCCCCCCATCAATAATGAATGCTTTTTTCTCCTCTTTTATACTAATATTTCTCATCCTTCATGTCCTTTGTACTGTGCTGAGCTGCTGACTGAATTGCCCAGGCTTCAGAATCAAGAAATTGCTCAAAGAGTAAAGCTAGGCAAAGGGGTTTTCCCAAAGATCTCCAGCTAGAAGACGCAGGGAGCACAGCCCTGGATCAGCCCCACCTGTGCCAGCAAGAACTGAAGTTCTCCACCCAGGACTCACGTAAGAACTTGCCTCTGCGTGAACACAGCCAGATAAAAATCACCTACACTTGATCCAAAAAGCTCTTTATGCATTGCAGTCACACTCCCATTCTGAATCCTACGTAACAGTTCTTGCATCCATGACCTTGGCTGTGCAGCACCATGCACATGGAAAGGCACCTCTTTGCAAACCCCATGCACGCCCCTCAGGAAGGGAAAACTTCAGTGCAGCTTGTGCCTAAATATGGTTTTTGTTTTAATCTTAGATCATCAGTTTCCTTCGTGATGAGGAATACAAGGGACTGATCCATTGCTGGATTCCACCTAGAGCAGCAAGACACCATCAGAAGGGAGACTGCACATAATGCTCTTGGCAGGTTTAAGCGCTCTGTACAAACGTAGAAGGAGAGAGAGAATGAGGGAGAGAGACCAGAGGCATGTAGCAGACTTCCTGACCTAGTGATTTATTTATGGCATTCCTAGAGGGGAGGAAGCCATGCAAAGATCACGAGCCTGCACGCTGCAGTAAGTGGCATGCTGGCGTATATTTAGCAAGCAACACAAGGCACTAAATCCACAGAGGATGGGAAATGTTTCCTTTCTTTGTGAATGACTGGAGTCAGGGAATGAGAGAGTTGTATTTAGAAGAGCAAGAAGGATTTCCCTTGCTTCTTTCAATAAATAAATTAATGCTTCTGCCAAGATTTGCCTTTCTTGCTTCCCTGAAAGCCAGAGTGTTTCCTCTCCCAGCACTTACCTCCCCACGCTGTCCGTCTGTCCAACCAGGTTGTTTGCAGGACTCAGCAGGGAGGTTTGGGAGGGCTGTGTGAGAAAAGCCTCTTCTCACACCGACATCTTCGGGAGATAAATTTTCCTGCAAGCTGCTGTCTCCATAGTAGGTGAACAGTGAAAGAAGTGTTGCAGAGAATAGGCCTCTGGTACAGCTCAGAAAGATGCAGAATCTGTGTCAGCTGAAACAGCAGCAGTGTTCATCAGCCTGATGAATCCCTGCATTGGCAGATGGGAGCATTTGTAAAGAACAGTATTGCACGTAAGGGAACTGCACGGAGATGAACCAAACTCCCCTAAAAGCCTGATTTTGTGAGGTGCTGCGTACCCACAGTTCCTGATAAAGAGCCCAATACTTGGCCATGGCTCAAACCACTGTAGGCAGATGTCCCCCACGTGGCTCACTTTTCTTCCAGCCCAGGACCAGTTGGCAGTGGGACCTGCAGCAGCACACTGGAGACTGCACCATGCCATGGGGACAGCGATGGGGGCGTGGGGTGTTCGGAGGTACTTGCCAGGCTGCTCACATCGTGAATCATTAAGCACTAAATGAACACAAAACTCTCATTTTAGAGCAGCATAATTGGACCACATCAGAAACAAGATGCTAAGCAATAGCCTGGGAAAACCCTTTTTGTTTCCAGATTTAGCTCTAGCTTTTAGAATTTCAGAAGTGGCAGAACCCATACGGCCTGTGGGCGACACGGGGCACCAAGTCTCCCAGCTGCCTCTCCAGCTGCTCAAAGATGAGGGTCTGATGGTTTAAAGAAGGCTTGAGTACATTAGCACTGATTTGACTTGAGGAGCTGGATTTAATAGGCTTAATGCTTGGACTTGCATCCCAATCAAACTTGTCTGTTGTTCATGGTGGCAGAAAAAAAATCCCATTTATAGATGGGAATATAATGATCAATCAAGCTTTATCGCTCCTGTTTCCATGCTAGCAGCTTATAACCACATAATAAAAGCACATAATGAAAACATCATAAAAAGGCACAGTAAAAATATATTCACCATGCAAGTACTGCCATCTTAGCACATCCCAGATAGAAAAGCTGAAGAATTGTTCTTGAGACTTCTGGCGTGTCCTATTAACCTCTGTAACACTACATCACACCCACCCTTTCCACTCAAGGAGTACAGTCAATTGAAATGACAGTGGTTGTGGAAGGTGCATGTAGCTGTTCGGATTCAACAAACTTAGAACACAAAAGGCCTCCAGACAAGTTTCGCCTTGGCAAATTTGGGTGAGGACAGCCTCTCCAACCTCCTTTGCTGTAGCAAGGCTCTTACTGGAAGAGCAGCATGAGATGGGTGCTTTGTCAACACTCTTCTTCCCTGTGGTTTAAGTGAAAGGTGCATATTCACAGCCACTGCTCTGGTTTACCATGAAGGACACACAACCAGCTTGCACTGTCTTCCTGCCCTGGCTTTATTTCTCCTTTACCAGCACCCTTACTCTGCTTTCTGCTGTTTTTATTCACTTCAGGTAGCTTTCATGGTGTTGTGTTGAGATATCTTGGAAATGGTAGCCACACTCTTGGATTTAGTTTTTCTCCTGCTTCACAATCTGGGGAAGTTGCTTGGATCAAAACCTAGTGTAGCTGGCCACCAAATGTGCCCTCTTGCCTCCTCGCATGTTCCTTATGCTCACACAGTCACTAAAGTGAGCAGATAAAACAGAAATCAATCATCAGTCCCTGTATGGACTTTGTTCCTTGATACAATGGTGACAAAAGAAGCATCTCTCACTTTAACAACCTGCACTCAAATCCTTCTTACTTTCGAAGATTTGTGTTTGTTTTTAAAGCCCTCATTGCAGTGACACTCTGAACTTAATGACTCAGCTACAGGTTGACTTGCCTTCTTTTTCTTTTTTTTAAACCACAGATGTTAGTAGTAACATCTAGGATGTCTGCACCTGGTTATCTTCGAGATTAAAGGCAATATTGTTCCCAGTTTTTTCCAACTGCTTATTTTGTGTCTCTGGAAGCACTCTGTACTCATGTGGCTTTGCTTTTTTTTTTTCTTCCATTACTTGTCTCTCCTTTGTTTGCTTGACACATTCACGCAGAGAAAGGGGAGAAACATAAACTAGGCAAATGTGATTTGATCACAGAGCTGGCGGGGGGCAGGCGCAGTCAATCATGCTGCCTTGAACTCTTGTGTGCAATCAGCTGGAGCTTGGCTGCACAGAGTCTCGTGAAATTACACAACACAACGATGCTGATCCAAAGCCTGCTATCAAGTGATGCCTTCATACGGACTTGGGAGCAGGCACAGTGTGTAAATAGCCCACCCCTTACATGCGGGAAAGCTGAAGGTTTGTTTACCAAAACTGTGGGCTGATTCAGATGCAAAACAAAACTTTCTGGCCACCTTTATCTCAGAAAACATCAAACCTGAACTCCCTAGGTTTCCTTTAGACTTATGAAAAAAACAGGTTGCAAAGCAAAACCCCTGTCAGCAAAACATTGCAGGCTGAGGCGAAGCTGACCCCCTCACACCAGCCCTGAATTAGGTCCCTGGGATTTTAAGCATTCCTTTATCTACTGAAAAGGAATGTTAAAAAGTTTAATTGGCATGTAATGAGATAACTGTAACAAGTTAATTAGTTCTCAATTAAATTGCGTTTACCATACGTTCTGAATGTGTTGTTAGCAATTAACGACACCTAATGAACTTGCAGTAGTGACTGAGTTTACAATGATAAGGAAAATAATAATAGTAAAGCTCACACGTGGCTTCATAGCACATTAGAAGCAACAAATGATTTAATAACTGTGCGGTTAAATCACCACATCTCCTGCAACCGCTAGAAGGGAAACAACCAATAAATTCATTCTGGCATTTCTAACAGAGTCTGGTAGGAAACAACTGGCTTTCATGACAGGCCTTCCCAGGAAAAAGAAATCCCAAAGGGCTGCAGAATTCCAAAGGAGAATGGGAAGCGAAGTTGCACGATGAAGTCAATTATGCAGTTTAGACTTAAGAAAGCAGAGTTCAGCTCATGACAAATGGTTGAGCCTGGTGGGATCAGATGGAGATCCTGAGGTGGAAACCCAGGTAGATGAGAGAAAAGGGTTAAATTCTTTCTCAAGATCCCTTAAGCAGTGAGTATATGGAGAGCAATTTGTCTCTGTGCTGCAAGTTAACCTCCTCTTAATGCTTTGCACCATTAGAGTGCCACACTGAATAGGCATTAGGCAGGAAAAAAACCCTACAAACTAATTTACATTTTAATGAATTTTTAATTGAACCAAAATCTGTTGTTTCTGTTTAAAGATGCAGTGTTGACTTTGTGGTCTGTGCTGCTGAGAGCCAAGTGGGATCTTAATGTGATAAAAACAATGATAACGCTAAGCTTAATTAGGTCTGAAAGCGTGCCTGGTAAAGTGGCATAGAATATGGGAATAAAAACGTCCCCTTCCCACCTCGAACCCAAGCAGCTGGACTGGCTACAGCAAGACCAAAGCCAAAACCATTACTTCTCCCTTGTACCAAAATCAGCCAATATGCCAAAGAAATAACTAGTCCCATGAGCAATAGGATCACCCACAGTCAGCCCTACAAGTTTAGTTCCATCTTCTCCTGCTATTAAGATCCAGCTGTAATGATGGGCAGGGCCAGCTGGGCTTTCTCTAATCACTTTTCTTATCGTAACAGGCTGTATAGAGATGCCAAAGCCTGGGAGCAGCTCTTTCCAATGGGCACTGGCTCTCACTGCTTTCTCTACTTACTGTTCAGGAAAACAAATGGATTGTCAGCTTATCTGAGCCTCCTGCAGATGAGAGACCAGAGAAATGCCCTTACATGGGGATTTCTGCACTTGGATTTAATAAAAAATGCCCCACAGTACCTAGGTGCACTCATTTGTTCCCTCTCTCTGGGGTACCTGTAATTCTGTTCTTAAGGCATTTCGTTGTGTTTTTAACATCTTGTACCAAGTGACTCACCAAGCTGACATACATATATATCTAACACCTCAACGAAGTAACAACAGAACAGCTATTTTAACACCAGTTTCTTGCAGGTCCTCCATCCTTCCTCTGGCTGCATTTGCCCCTGGGAGGGTTGCTCTGCTCACAATGGCTTCTGCGTAATTAAACTGTATTATTATTAATTATTATTATATGCAATATTCTGGACCTTTACCAATTTATTAGGTTAGTACGATGACTATAAACTGAATACACTCCTCAGCTCACAGAAGGCCTGACACTCTTGTGAACCCAAACAGAACCACCGTGTTCAAAAACAAGCTATGGCAGCAACTTTCAAAACCTGTTAAAATCACCCTGCGAGCTTCATCTTCAGTGCCCTACTGCTACCTACCATGCCCTGCATTTTGTAGCAATTTGGTTCACTATTGCTCTGTTAGAACACTTGAATTTATATTGTGTATGAGTCACTGGCCTTCAGCGCTCAACTTTGTCCTTTACATTACACGTGGCGTTATTTTTTACTTTTAAAAGCAAGAGTGCCCCTGACCAATCTATTGTATTCACTCAGCGTGGGTGGGCAGTGATTTAGCTTCCTGTTAACATGGGCTGGAAACACATTCCTCCCTAAAGAGAGCAAATTTGACCCTAAAAACATGGTTTGGTGCAGAACAGTTGAGGCACAGACCTTCCTGTTTTCTTTAGCTGGACGTGGAGAGCAACAGCTCTCCTCACCTCACTTTAACTTAGAGAGTTGTTCCTGCCTGTCCCTTCTTGCTATGCATATATACAGCAATTCCTACTGCTGTGCAAACTCTGGCTTCTGCAGATAAGCTCTAAGCATGCGTGGATGCCACCTCATTATGCTTTCTGTGTTCTTCAAAAAGGCCCTTTCACCTGTTTCCCTCTTCACCTGCCTTGTTTTTCTCTCTCCACTCTTCCTGCTGCTGCGGGAAGCTGAACGTCGCATCAATTGAGTGATGTTCTGTTTCACTCTGACAGTTGCTGAGATCTGTGGCCATCTGGAGGTCCTGTGGCACCAAGCAACGGACCAGACAGCCCATTCCCTCCTTGATGAACCCCAGCAGTGTGGCTATCAGGTCCTGATGAACAACACAGCTGGTAGAGGTCACCTCCCAGTTAGCTTAGGACATTCCTGAGAGCTTTTTGTAGATGTATAGGCTGTGGCTCTGAATTAAGCTTGATCTGGGTGATACAGGCTGTCAGGCTCATCTTTCACTCTGCTGCTTTCAAAGGTGTAGTGATACTCGGTAAATCCACCCAGATGTCAGACAAAATAAATGCCAAAGAGGCGAACCACCATTATTTACTGCTGAGAGTGTTCAAGGTGGGAAGGCCCAGCAGCACTGGCGCCTGCAAACCAGCCCTCATGGCAGAGCCAAGGGAGATGCACTGGGTGTGCAGCCACGTCTGAGATTTTCAGAGCTGACTTGGTGCTGGTGACTCTTGCGCACACCTGAGAATGGGAGAGGATGGGATGAGCTGAGCAGGCTTTCCCTCAGCTTTCACACAGACTGGGCCCAGGCAGTATTTCCAGAACAGCAAAAGCTGGATCTCCATTCTCAAGCTCTACCATTCACAATTTATTTGTAAAACACAAAAAAGTTGTTTGTTTTTTTTTTTTATGGGCTAAAAAAAAATCTGGTTAATTGGCTTTTTACCTATTTAGATAAATAGCTCACTACTGAAAAGGCGCTTCTGAAGGGAAGGGTCTCTTAGGATTTATTTCAATAGTTCCACATAAAATCTCTCTAGATCTACACCAGAGTTCAATCAAACTCACTGATATGACACTGCAAGCTTTGCCTATGCCTTTTCACCTGCTTTTGCCTCTGTTCCACCCAGTCTGATAACAACTTCAAGCTACGAGAGCTCCATGCCTCCTCATAATGAGTCCACTTGTATCACAAGTAGGATACCTGGATGAAAAATATTGTCAAGATCCCATTTGTTAAAAACATCTTTAGTTCTCAGACAGGGACGGTTTTGTGGTGCTATTTGGGGTAATGAGGACAGTCTGAGGAATGTAGAGCACCGGTTGCAAGACAGACGCATGCAGAAGAGGCTGCAATGCTAAGTTGAGGGAGGGCAGCTTTGGCCGATAACTAAACAGCTGGGGGATGCCATTTCTTTAGAAATTGAAGCCGGGGTTCACCTGCCAGGATTTTGTAGCCCAAAGATTCTATTGAGTACATGGCTACACTCCCATTTCCAAGCCTTAGGTCAAGTTAATTTTGTTCCCCTGCCCTGCAGTGAGGGCAGTCATAGAAAAGCAGCCTAAGTGGATTGATATAAATTGACTCCAGCAGGGATCAAAAACTCTTTGGAGATTAGGGCTGTGGTCTTCTTTGAATATAGATAGTTACTACTACAACAGAGCCCTGTCTTTGGTTAGACCTACTGCAAATTAATAAGTGTAATAAATTATATAATGGATGGAAGATCTTAAGCAAAACACTTCTGTCCAAAAAGGCAGAAGTGATTTTTCAATAGCATACTTTTCAGGTTTTCACCAGGTTTCAGCTGCTTTTTGAATAATGAAGTAGATGAACAAATGAAATACATATGCTTAAACCATGATCCTAATTGAAACACATTATGGTCGAACAGGCCACGTTCTACCCAGGCAGAGATTAGTGCGATAAAGGAAGGAACAAGATGGAATAGTGCTTCAGAAGCGTTTAAAAGCTCTTTCCATTTGGCAGGAGTGGCTCACATTTGCAAAACATTTATTCAAGTCTTAGTTGAAAATAAATCCTTGAATGTAGCTATGCTATTGAGAGGTTGCAAAGTGGCAGTGGCCTCTTTAATCATTGTCCCATTCAAGCTCTAATCAGCATAGCGTATGCAAGGATGAGTGGTAGGAGATGAGAATTCACCTCCTCAGCAGGGTAAGGTTGCATGTGTCTCTTCTTTCTAATTAGAAGCTCTATTCAAATGTTAATCAGCAACACCATGATTAAGGAAGATTAAAGAGAATACTTGGACATTGCTTCACTGATGTGGCTAAAGAGATTTTTTCTTTCTTCGTGTCCAATAAGAGTGTTCTGATGGAAGTCAGTTTGCTTTCCAAGTCTGGTTTAATTCCCACACCTTCCCCCCTCCATGATGCTGCAGTGATGGAGGGCAGTTATTTCTGTCCAAGACTTTCTGTCTGTTTTAAGCCTTCAGAGTCACCGGCCCATGGTTACATCACTGTTCTGCCAAGATCATGTTAAGCAACTCAGCCACAGCAGTCAAGATGAGCTTGGGAAATACTGAGGGATGACATCATTTCAGTACTTCAGCTATTCCCTTTTTATCACATCTCTTCTCTATGGGCTTCTGAACTGTCCTGCTTACATTTCCCTTTAGAGAAAGGAAGAAAGTTACTGGAAGAATGAGAAGAAATTAAGAGTCCAAGCTGCAGTCAAGGAAGAAACATTCTTATAACTCACAGACATATAACCTGGCAATCAGAAGGGGCAACACCACTGGTGATTGTGTTAGGATGGCTTCGGGATGTTAAGATGACAGACAGAACAAAGAGGGACTACAGAACTAAGGGGCACTTTTAGATCCATAATTTCTCTTCTCTCCCTTATTCAAAAGGAAAAGTTGCAACTTAACCAGAGACATCCTTCTCCAGTGTCCTCTCCAAGGTGCCTACATCACATGCTATGTCGTGCTCAGCATTGCCACGTCATTCCCAGTGCCTTCCCATGCCTCACAATTAGGGGAAACAAAAAGCTCTCTTGTCTTTCTTCTGAGAGATGAGCTCAGCTGGCATAAAACGAAACTATTTGTCTAATGGTCTCATATTTGGAAAAAATCTCTTCAAAAAGACAGTACTGGAACTGGCGAGAGCTCCAAATACACGAAGTGACTTAATTAAAGGTGACAATTTAAACAAAACATTTTAACGGATTGTGACCTCATTGAGAATTTGTATTCTACCATTACAAAAAGTTAGCAGCAGGTGAGACCGTTATACTCCAAATCTCAAATCAAATGCAACTGTATGCTCCACTCCCAAATCAAACACGACTATAACTGAAATCCTAGCATACAAATATTACTCTGTGAACTCTGGTTCCAGGGTGTACTCCCTTCATTTGCACTTTCAAAAAACAAAAATCAAAGCAATCAGTTCATTTCTGATGGAGAATTTGGATGCTACCTCCTGCATCAATGCATAATCCTCAGCACAGGGTTCATTAAGCTGTAATGATTCATGACTGGCTCTTCCAGCTGGGACTCAGGATGGATTCAGCCCTGAGTTGCCCTCGTTATCTAGAGGCATTTAGCTCTGGGGGGTGACAACACACAGATTGCTGTGGATAATTTTGAGGCTGACTCTGCACTGAGAAGTTAAGTGTTGACTTCAGCTGAGTTTCTGATGACACAAAATGAGTGCAGACAAGCAGGGATTTGACCCTGTGCTGTATTTTATATATTATTGGTAGGTTTTTTTTTTGTTTTTTTTTTTTTTTACCCCAAGCAATGTCTTAATTCTACTTGGTATTGTACAGAGGAAAAAAGTTGTGGCAATAATAGGCTGTGTGGTTCCAGTGTACTTCCAGAGCAGATTCGCTCCTAGAGTCAGCTAAAGGTTAGTGCAGAGTCATCAGGGACTTCTGAAAATTAGGGGTTTTCAAAGTGTACAATTCTCATCTTGAGATGCTGTTAGCAGTCAATACCCAGGTTGAATCTTCAAATATCAGTTGGGCCTTCAACATACCTTTATGTCACACTAATAGACATTCTCAGCTGCCATCACTCCAAACAGTGACTTTTTGAACTGGTGTCCTGTTCTATCTAATGGAGAGAGAATGCAATCTTGGGAGACATATCTGTGCTGGATTTGATGTACCCAGCGTGGATAGTAATGATAGCAGAGGTCTGATGGAATAGACAGTTGTGTGAGCTATACAAATTCATGGGCTGCCAACCCATGGCAACATGCACATCACTCGACTGGCATTACTGCTGGGACCCACACAAAGTAAACTGAGTGTGGCTAAATCAACCTACTTGTGTGACACTTACATGCTGGTATATCTGCACATGAAATCAGAGGAGAACTGGAATGGTAACCAGAGGAAGGAGAATTGAAGCAATTTAATTGCCATTCTCACAGCAGAAGAATGGAGGAATCATCAAATGGATGGAAAACTAAGTTAATTAAGCAAACAGGTAAACACTTTAACATATATTTAGCCAAAATAATAACAATAATTTAAAAAAATATATATACATTCAAAAGCCAATAAAAAAAGATGTAAACACTGGCCCCAAAGTGCATACAATACCATTACCTAAAGATGAAAAGGTCACACCAACAGAAATATCTCTATATGAGATGTGGGTGGGCAACCCCCATGTGAGCAATGCTACCTACTGCAAACTGTCAGGATAACACTGAGCACTTGTACTCTTGGTTCCCTCAGAGCGTGCCAGCAGACCGAAAGGAGCCACTCGGCCTCCCAGCTGCCCAGGTCACCAGTGTTTTATTGCTGTCACCACAGCTATGGCCACGTGGTGCAACTCAGGGCTCTGCAGAGCTACATGAGCAGCTCAGAGCTGGCTGCATCTGAAGCCCATATGTAGAGACATTTTGTCTGCAGCAGAGGTGAGTCATGTCTTAGGGCAGCCTTGGGTCTCTCCTTCCCACTCGCTGGGGCACTGACATTTTGAGAACTCAGCCTCCTAAGGTAAGGGTGAAACGTTCTTGCTAACAAGCCAGCTCATCTCCATCAGGCTGAGACCAAGTGGTGCCATTCAGCTAGGAGCATCCAGCAGAGACCACTGCATCAGCACTGTCCTCAGCAGCTTAGCAGAAAGACTAGGGAAATAGGAATTCCCTGCCTTCCATTTCTCCCACCTAACAAAGGTGGTGCTATGCATCAGACCCCTTCCACACACCTGATCATTGGGCACATTTCTCTGGCAAAAAAAAAAATTCCCTCAAAGCCTTCAATAAAACAAACAAATCAGAAAGCCACAAAACACTGAGGTTTTGATCAGAAAACATTACATTTCCCACGTACGTAGAAATATACACAAATCCTACTACTTACTAGTCCCTTTCTGCTAATAGGAGCTCCAGAAGACTTCTTCCAACCTCACTTCTCAGCCTGCAAAGAAATGAAGACCTTGATTGATGATCACAGGCAGATGTGGTGAAAGCATCCCAATCACAGGCACAACACTGCTGCCTGAGTAATGGATTTCCCACCCCCGTGGGAGGCAATGCTGAGCTTGCTGTTCTGGTGGGCAAAATCCTGCACCATCAAATGTACACAAACAGCTGAAAGCACACATTATGTGCCAAGAAAAAAAAACCGAACACATAAACTCAAAATCCCTCCCTAGCCTTGTCTGTCCTCCTGTTAACATCCCAGAGTCAGTGTTAGCCTGTTGCAGTCATTTGTTTTAAGGTTGTGCTTGGCTTGACAAGGAGTCTAGACAGAAGAGTGCTCCATTCATCTGACAAATGTCTATTGCTCTTCTCTGCACTGAGTGAATCTTAGAGGAGTCAGTGCCTTGAAGGCAGAGCTCAGCCCTGCAGAAAAGCCAGACGAGGACTGTAGGACAACCAAAGAAAGGTCCTGGTTGACTGTGACAGATATCTAGAAGCAGGGAGGAAGGTGCACATCTTCCTCTGGAGGAGAGCAGAGACCTTTCAGTGAGCCATGACTACAAATCCTGTTTCCTAATTGAGAGTAGAAGGAGCAGTGGATAAGCTGCCAAGGCCAGTGTAAATGAAGAAGGATTGCTTTTTCAGGCAATAGATCAGAAGTTAGGACATTGCTTTATGCAGATCTTTGCCCTTACACATACCTCTGAGTAAAGGGAGAACTGCCCGAGTCTGGACCCCAGTGGGACCCAAGCTGGGTCTCTGATGCTTGCACAAATCAGCAGCAACAGCTGAATTTTATGAACGTATATTCCAAGATGCTGTAATTGTCACCTCCCAGCTGTTCTTTGCCACCTAAAGGCACCTAGTGCATCCTCTTTGGCACATGCAGCCATAAAGCAGTCACTGGGTGCCTACTTTCTTATACTCACTGCAATAGCTTCAAACAGCTTCTGAGCCAACACAGACTCTTTCAGGGATCACCATGGATTCTGGACCCGTGTTTGTCATGCACATTGGAGAAACAGGAGCAGCCCACCAGATAGAATGGTCCCGCTTTGCTTCCAACCTCCTAACACTGATACAGCAGAGCTTAAAGCAGCAGTAATCAGCTATGGAGTCACAGAAAGACAGGCAGGCCCGGCTCATTTTAGATAAGGCAGCTGTGAAAAAATGACAGCATGATGGACAGCTGCACGAGAAGAACTCCCTGTGCTGTTAAGGTCTTACAAAATGAGGCAACTTCCCATCCAGTGCTCTTGGTGAACTCGAGAGCTTCAGCTGTGAGCTTTTCTCAGATGATGCCTTCCAGGTGGGCTCCTTCTCCCAGGGAACTGAAACAGCAGAAGGGGAATGAAAAGCAGTGAGGGATGTGACTGTTTTGGGATAGAGAGCTCTGGAAGCAAGGACAAACGTGCCAGTGAGTTTAGGTATTGTTGTAGCACCCATTCTCTGTCTACTCACCCCAGTACTCCATGTTATGAAGGAGGAAAGATTTAGGTTGGATGTTACAGGGAAGTTCTTTACAAGGAGAGTGGTTAGGCCCTGGAACGGGCTGCCCAGGGGGGTTGTGGATGCCCCATCCTTGGATGTGTTCAAGGCCAGGTTGGACGGGGTCCTGGGCAACCTGATCTGAATGTGTATGTTTGGTGGCCCTGCTAGGCAGGGGGGTTGGAACTACATGATCCTTGAGGTCCCTTCCAACCCGAGTGATTCTGTGATTCTGTGATTATGCATACATGTCCATGCAGTAGTCATCCAAAGGCCAAAAATCTGATTCTAAGGGCCAATGCTGCCAGTCCAAGGGTTCACCATGCAGGCTGGCTCCTCTTGCTGCAGAAGAAGGGCCGTTTGCCCATCCATTTTCTATGCGGGGAGATCAAAATTTTTGGCTGCAGCTCTGAAAGCTCCTCTGCCGATTAAATATTTATTATGACATGTTGCCTAGCAATGACCAGATTGCCCTGAACATGCAGGAGATAAAATATACTACAGGGTGCAGGAAGCAGGGAGAAACAGTGGAAAAATAACTCCAAACAGCCACTGATTCTGTTGGGTTTTGGGACTATTTACTAGCAAGAGATGAAAAATAGATTTTGCTCAGTAAAGTGTTGGATTGGTCCGACTAATTTCACCAGCTAGGTGAAAGGCTTACAGGGATAAAAGCAGACAGTCGGGAAAGCAGTTGGCTGTTATATAGCAAAAAGGGTTATTTTTGTCACTGCTTGGTGATGTGTGTCCGGACGGCACGGTGCTGTGGTGTTGTCTTCCCTCTTGTTGTCAATGTGCCAGAGCTAATTAAAGCGAGCTGGGCCTATCCGTGGAGTGGGATTTACTGAAACAAACTAATCAGGGAGGCAAAAATAGCCGTGAATTTCTGCCGTTCTGAGGGAATCTGTCGGCTTGGAAAGAGGACGGCAGGGAGAGCCGACATCAGATGTCTGTTCTGGCATCTGATGCTCCTCATCCACCCTGCTGCATATTCTGAGCACTTTCAGGATTAATTTTTTTTGTTATTGTTTTTCACCCCCAAGATTGAATCCCGTTTCCAATGAGCTGAACCAACAGGTGAGAGCTGTAGCGTTTCTGAAGGGCATCCGCTTTAGGAAAGCTGTCAGTATGTCTGCCTTGTGATGGTAGTCAGTATAAAAGAGAGGGAGAAAGGGGAAAGAGAGAAGTTCTTTTTCTGTGAAAAGAGATCATCTTGCGACTTCATTTGTGGTGTTTGTTTGCCGGAGCCTTTGCAGAGGCCAGCTGTTAATAGATGGGCTGCATGAGCCTTCTCATTCAATTTATCACCAGGCTTGCACAAAGCATTTCTGCTGCTTTCGTGGAGGCACAGTCAATCTAACTACCTCACATGTCTGGAGAAGCCCTGATTGCTTTAGCATCCATTGCTCAGTTTTATTCTTAGAATAAACCCGTGGGGAAGGGATTGTTGTTTGCTCCATTTTACAGCTTCATAGACCATTGTCCAGGTTGGAACATCTCATTGCTACTGCTGAAAGCAGCCCAGTTCTTTGTAAGTGGCCGCTGTGCCTGTGATGTCCCCAAGATGTCACCAGGACCTGGCCCTGTTGCAAAGAGCTGGAGACTTACATGAGCTTATTGCTTATGTTAACCTCTTGGGAAACTGTTTGCAAATTAACGCATGCCTAATTTCAGATCTGAGCTGGGTGGCTGAGGCAGAGGGGCTGAAGTCCTCAAAAGTAATGAGGTGCTTCCTTTCACCTAACATTTTTGAGGACCTAGGTGCTTTGTTCAGTGATCCTAAAGAACCAGAGCTCCTGGGTCAGAGATGCAGCACTGAGCTGCTCTTTTTCAAAGAGGAGCTCCTCAAGGATTTTGTCACAAAGCTTCTCACAATCCTGAGGGATTCCATCCACATAGGGGCCACCACAGCCTCAAGTTTTGTTTTTTTCAAGCCATTGGGAATATAATTTCAAAGTCTTCCCAGAGGCTACTGCAATGGGCCTTAGGACATGGTTAAAACCCAGTCCCAGGAAGATATTGATAAACAGGGGGGAGCTCACAGAAGGGGAATGAAAAATATCCCAGTCTGGAGGCTGTGAATTATGGTGATGCATGTGGTAGAGCTACCTATGTTGCTTAAATGATGACTGAACAGGTGCTAATGGCAAGTCTGTTTGAAAAAAGAAGAGTAAACCACCAGGGACTAAAAGTGGGTGCTTCAGGTGGGTGCATGGCAATGAGCTGAGGAATGGTCTGCAGATGAATCAATTGTGTGAGTTAACTAGAGTTTAAAGCCAGAATTTAACAACCAGACTGGGAAAAAACAGACAGGCTAAACACACACACAGAAACGCTCCAAAACCAAATGGAAAAAATAAAAAAAATATCAAAAGAAAATAACCTCCCCTAGCTGCATGGAAGGGCTGGTCGTGACCAGCCCAGGATCAGTGCTGTGGAATGAGGCCAGCGGTTTCTCCCCACACATCTCAGCACACCCATGGGCTCTGGTCCCAGCAGGCTGCTTCAAGCGTTTTGTCGACAGCTTGAATTTCTGCACCACTCTTGCTTTTTCAGCTTCGTCATTTTGACAGGCCAATTCTCTGACATTTTCTCCTCTGCTGGCTTTGCGAGGCAGAGGCGACCTGCATTAGCTGAGCTCCCAGCACTGTCCTTTCCCAGGCACCAGCCGTGGCTGCGGCAACGTTTGCCAACCTTGCAGCTTTTTCCCCCAGATTCTTTTTTTTCAGAGTAGTTTGGAAGGCCCTTGGGGATGTTCACTCAGCTATTTACATGCTGGATAGAAATCCATTTTTCTCCAAGGTGGGTGACTGCTGTGGGTCTGTATGAAGCCATCGTGCTCCTACTCTTGTAGGAGTTTCATGGACAAGGTTATCGTGTCCCCTCCCAACTCTCACTGACAGTCAGCATGAGGGAACTAATTGCCTGCCTTTAATAGATAAACCAAGGGTTGCTTAACCTCTGATGACTGAGTGGGTCTGGGAAATGAATCGACCAATCTTTAACACAAGGAATCAGATGGTCAGAAGAGGCAGGATGGGATGGCAGGTCTGTTCAACTGCTAAAATTAAAGGGTCCAGGATGTGGCTTTTAAGAGAGTCCAAATAAAAGGCTGTCCATCAGCACAGGAGTTCAGGGATGGGGTGATGACATACTTGTGTCAGGAGCTGGACACATCAACGGGGAGACCATGGCTGGGAAATGCCTCCCTCTGCACGGAACCAGATGATGCTGAGTCAAGTCCATGCCCTGCAGTCGATTTCAGCCCATACTGCTGCTGTTATCAGCAGTTGGAAGAGGGAGATGCAGGGAGTGGAGGAAGCACCTCTCCCCTGGGCTCAGTGCCTGGCGTTCCCAGTGATTTGCTGGATGCCCTTGGAAAAGCCAATTAAGGTTTTGTTGCCTCGGATTTCTCAGCTGTATAATCCAGACCTGTTCGCAGGCGTAATTAACCCATAGTCTGACCACAGTTTCAGGCATGTGGTTTGTAAGGGGATGGCATGATTATTTCAAAAACCGGGTATTGAGAGTATTAATAGATTTTTAAGGCTTAAAGCAATGACTGTGCTAATTTATTTATACAGCATTTGTTAACGAGATTGCAGAACCTCTTCCAGCAATATCTACACTGCAGGCATGCCTGCAAGTCCTCTCTGTGCAGTAGCATACCCTCCAGAAGATGTTAAGTCTTGATTTAAAGATCCCAGGCGACAGAGACTTCATCACATCTGCAGGTCAGCTGCTGAAAGCTTATTTTCTTGCGTTGCTGAAGTATGCCATATTGCTAGTCTGGGTGTATCCAGGATCAGTTCCCACTGCACGAAGATTAAAGAGCCATAAATGTGAGCAATCTCTAACCCAAGTAGGGAGCTGCAGACTGTGACTGAGAGAGCTTTTTGCATGCATGTGGATAAACTGGATAGATTAGGGCTTAAGCCTC